TGTCAGGGTCTTCAATTCGCTTCCATTGGTCCATGTGTCGGTTTTTATGCCACTACCAAGCTGTTTTTATTACTATAGCTCTATAGTAGAGTTTGAGGTCAGGGATCATGATGCCTCCAGAGGTTGCTTTATTATACAGGATTCTTTTCTTTCTTTTTTTTTGGCTTTTTAAAACAGGGTTTCTCTGTGTAGCTTTGCGCCTTTCCTGGAACTCGCTTTGTAGACCAGCCTGGCCTTGAACTCACAGAGATCCACCTTCCTCCGCCTCCTAAGTGCTGGGAGTAAAGGCATGCACCACCACTGCCCAGCTATACAGGATTCTTTTAACTATCCTAGGTTTTTTGTTTTTCCATATAAAATTAAGTATTGTTTTTTCCAAGTCTGTGAAGAATTGTGTTGGGATTTTGATGGAGATTGCATTGGATCTGTAGATTGCTTTTGGTAAGATTGTTATTTTTACTATGTTAATTCTATCTGTCCATGAGCATGAGAGATCTTTCCATTTTCTGATATCTTCTTTGATTTCTTTCTTCAGAGACTCAATGTTTTTATCATACAGGTCCTTCACTTGCTTATTTAGAGTTACCCCATGGTATTTTATATTATTTGTCGCTATTGTAAAGGGGGATGTTTCTCTGATTTCATTCTCAGTCCATTTATCATTTGTTTATAGGAGGGCTATTAATTTTTTTGAGTTAATCTTGTATCCTGCCACATTACTGAAGGAGTTTATGATCTGTAGAAGTTCCCTGGTAGAATTTTTTGGGTTACTAATGTATATTATCATTTCGTCTGCAAATAGTGAAAGTTTGCCTTCTTCCTTTCCAATTTGTATCCCCTTGATCATCTTATGTTGTCTTATTGCTATACCTAGAACTTCAAGTACCATGTTGAATAAGTATGAGGAGAGTGGACAGCCTTGTCTTGTTCCTGATTTAGTGGAATCGCTTTGAGTTTCTCTCCATTTAACTTAATTTTTGTATGTTGAACCATCCTTGCATCCCTGGGATGAAGCCTACTTGGTCATGGTGGATAATTTTTTTTGATGTGTTCCTGGATTCAGTTAGCCAGTATTTTATTGAGTATTTTTGCATCAATGTTCACGAAGGAGATTGATCTGTAATTCTCTTTCTTTATTGCTTCCTTATTTATTTATTTATTTATTTATTTTTTACAAATGGTCATTGTTATTGGGGTGAGATGACAGTTATTATGGGTTTCATTTAAACTTCATATGTTGAGAATTATTGTCACATACTCACTGGCCTTCTATAGATAACTCCTTCCTTAAGTCGGTTCCCACTTTTTAAATTGCATTATTATATTCTGTTGACTTGGAGTGAACACCATACATAGGATACATATGAACATGCTGTCATATGTATACTTGTTAGCTCCTATTCTGCATGGACTTCCATGGTGGAGTTGCTCCTTTTAATTACAGAACCTTTTAAACCTCATATAATTGCATATGTCTACTTTTGCTTTTGCTTCTGTACTTTCAGTGTCTGGAGAAAAAGAATATCCTTCATTCCAGCACTCTAAAACTTCCTTTATGTTTTCTTACAATAATCTCATAGCTCCAGGTCTTATATTTAGGTCTACAATTCATTTAGAGTTGACTTTTATAACTGGAGAGATAGAGGCTGAATTATTTATTTTATATTGCTCTCATAGGATGCCTGCTATAAAATTTAAAAGGAAGAAAAATTAATTTTGGCTCACAGTTTCAGAGACTTTAATCCATCATGGTGGATAACATGTGACTAAGAAAATTAGTTCACAAGATGGAGGCAAGCAAGCAGAATAAAGGAAATACAGGAAGAAATTATAGCAGGTACAGCTTCTAATGGCACATTCCTGGTTGACAATTTTCTCCAATTAGGCACCATTTCCTACTTTTTTTTTTACCATGTCCTAGTGACATTATATCCTGAGTCTATCCAGGTAACAATTCATTCACCGTGTCATGGACTTTACTTATGATCTAACTATCTCTAGAAATGCACTCACAAACACTATCTATGCAGGAGTAGAAATAATCTGCACCTCCCATCTGTTGAGTCCATCAGGATATATAACACATATGCACAGAGGGATATAACTCAGACATAAAGCACAATGAGATACTGTCATTTCTAGCAACATGGATGGGCACAGAGCTGGCTATGTTAATTGAGAAAAGACAGGCACAGTAAGATGGGTATTATATGACTTTATTCTTAGTTGAATTTAAAAAAGTTTATCTTGTTATCCTGGAAGTTGGAGGTTGAATAATTCCTAATATGTGGATGGGGGGAGGCTGATCAATATATTCTAAGAAGACATAAACAAAAATTTCAGGTATGCTATTGCATATTAGGATGACCACAGGCTATATTTATGTTTTATTTGTCTCAAAAGAGAAGAAAGATTTTGTCAGTCTTCATCATAAAATGATAAATATTTTATTTCATAATCTTATTCAACTTGATATTAAGCTCCACACAATGTATATATAACTTAATGCACTGGTCAATTAAAAAAAATAAAAACTATAGGTATTCTTAGAAGGAGACCTTCTTTATAAGGTCCACTGTATATAACAATTTATTGTAATCTGTGTCCCTTCTAGAGCTACCAAACTAATTTTCATTGCTATCAACTATAGCGTCTGTTTTTAATGTGGCAGTGATTAATTTAAATATTAACATTCTATTTTTTCTCTGATAATTATGTTCTACCAAGTCACTGAGATTTTGGAATTATATGTATGCCAACAACAAATACACAGATATAATTTCAGATAAATTATAGTAAGATAATTTCAGACAAGTAATCTAAGTAAAAAACAACAGGAAAATTATGTGTATCATGATCTAGTTTTGTAGATAAGAAGCCATTTAAGCAACACAGTGAGAGGTGATATTATAAATGGGGAAATGACTAGGAAGAATATCGTGTAGAGTACAGAGTTTAGCATTGTGTAAGTGTTGAATATTGAGCTGTCTGTGGACTCTTAGGCAGGAGCTTCCACTGAGGAAGTACACAGAGAACAGTACGAACCTGGAGGAAGATGAGCTTCCAGTAAAGATGCATATTTCAGCAAAATATCTGAGATGGTGAAAGAAGTGTTGGTACTGTACACTCTGAGGGACAACAGCTCCCTTTTCTGTTTTGTGAAAATAAGAATGTCTAGGAAAACAATGTAGACTCCTGCCTTAGTTAGGGTTTCTATTGTTGCAAAGAGACATCATGTCCATAGTAAATCTTATAAAAAAAAAATGGGCCAAATTTGAAACCCTGGCTCATATCATGAGACACTAAGAGACAGAAAAATGGTTACTCCTATCTTTTTGAAGTGGAGAAACTGCAGAATCACTAAGTTTTTGTATTACTAAGACTCAGCCATTGACACTAAGTGATGAGAGAAGGTGTTGAAATTCAGTTCTTATCTAGTAAAATAGTGATATAAAATTATAAAATAAAAAAAAACAAAAATGAAAAAAAGACAAAAAGATGGATATGAACAGGAACAAAACCAAAAAAATCAATTATATGCATATATTAGCAAAAAATCAAACAGAAGGAAGGCAAAATGGAAAGTTAACTTTGTGTTTGCCTCTAGTTCCTTTTTCTGTTTTGTGAAAAAAAGAATGTCTGGCAAAACAATAGTAAAACAATGTAGACTCCTACTTTAGTCAGGGTTTTTATTGCTGCAAAGAGACATCATGTCCATAGCAACTCTTTTTTTTTTTTTTTTTTTTTTGGTTTTTCGAGACAGGGTTTCTCTGTGTAGCTTTGCGCCTTTCCTGGAACTCACTTGGTAGCCCAGGCTGGCCTCGAACTCACAAAGATCCACCTGCCTCTGCCTCCCGAGTGCTGGGATTAAAGGCGTGCGCCACCACCGCCCGGCTATAGCAACTCTTATAAAGGAAAACACTTAATTGGGGCTGGCTTACAGTTTCAAAGGATTAGACCATTATCATCATGGCTGGATCTGGCAGTGTGCAGGCAGACATGGTGCTGGAGAAGGAGCTGAGAGTTCTATATCTTGTTCCACAGGCAGCAGAAGGAGAAAGTGCTGTACTGGACATAGCTTGAACATATATGAGACCTCAAAGCCTGCCCCCAATAGGGTCACACTTCCTCCAACAAAACCAAGCCATACTTCCTCCAAAAAGGCCATACCTCCTAATAGTGCCACTCCCTATGGGCCAAGCATTCAAACACATGAGTCTATAGGGGTCATTCCTTTTAAAACCACCACAACATCAAAGGAAATAATGGATACAGGAAATTAAGGAATAAGATAATGCCAAAATTTGTGAACAAAGGACAAAAAAATGCAAGGCAGCATAGGAAGTGGAGGTATTCAAATATCACTGATATCGAGTTGAATTACAAGTATTATTTAAAAAGGATAGAGAGATCAAAGCAGAAATCTGGACAAATGGTACAATCCTGGAATAACTTCATTATCATAAGGAACAAGTATCCAACATAGTAGTATATCTATTATATATTTTTCTCACTGATTCTTTTTTCATTTTTCTTTATTCAGAAATATTCTACTCACTCTACATATCACCCACAGATCCCACCTCCTCCCTCCTCCCACCCCCAGCCCTCTCTTCCAAGCCACCCCACATCCCCACATCCCTCAAATCAAGGTCTCCCATGAGGAGTCAACAGAGCCCAGCACACTGAGCCAAGGCAGGTCCAAGCCCCTCCCCACTGCACCAAGGCTGTGCAAGGCATCACACTGCACTGCAGGCACCCGGCTCCCTCTATTATATTTTTTCCAGGGCCACCTGGGCAAGACAATGAGAAAAATTATTCTGGTCCCCAAGACCCACTCCCCATGTTAAACTACTTGGCTTAACTTCTTAATGTAGTGGATAATTAGTATGACCTATGAACATGGTGGGCTTCCTTGGTGGGTAAATTCTACAAAATATTCCAATGTCCACATTAATATATTTATGGGATGATATTTGTTAAATTTCCAAGTTTTACCATCATAGGTTTAGTTGAATTTTCTTTTTGCAAAAGATTCTTTCCAGAGCCTCCTTTATGTCTCTATTTCTAAGGCTGTAGATGAAGGGATTCAGCATGGGGGTCACCACTGTGTACATCAAAGACATGACAGTATCCTTCACAGTAGAGTTATTAGCAGAAGGACATAAATAGAGACCAATGACTGTCCCATAGAACAGTGACACTACAGACAGGTGGGAGCCACAGGTAGAAAAGGCTTTACGGATACCTTGTGAAGAAGGGACCTTGAGAATGGAGGAGACAATTCGTACATAGGACATGATAATGAGTGCAAATGGAAGGATAAGGAAGATGCTGACCACAATAAATATCACCACCTCATTAACATAGGTGTCTGAGCAGGACAGCTTTAGCAGAGCGGACATGTCACAGAAATAGTGGGGGATCACGTTGTCCTTACAGAAAGACAATCTGGCCATGAGCAGGGTGTGCAGCATGGCATGGAATGTGGTCAGCACCCAGGACAGCAACACCAGACTCACACAGAGTTTAGGACTCATGATACTGTTGTAGTGAAGGGGGAAGCAGATGGCCACATAGCGGTCATAGGCCATGGCCACAAGGAGGAAGTTCCCAAGGTCTCCAAAAAACAGAAAGAAGTATATTTGTGCCAGGCAGCCTGCATAAGGGATAGATGGGTCCTGGCTCTGCATGTTCTGCAGCAGTTTGGGCATTGTGACAGAGGAGAAGCAGAGGTCAGAGAAGGACAAGTTGCTGAGAAACAAGTACATGGGTGTGTGGAGATGGGAGTCCAGTAGAATGAGGATGATGATGATGAGGTTCCCCATGACAGTAATGAGGTACATGGCCAGGAACAGGGAATAGAACAGGTGCTGTTGCTCTGGGGGGATGGGCAGGCCCAGGAGGAGGAACTGGGAGACAACAGTTTGGTTCCCTTCTGTCATACTGCCTCAGGTTCCTTTAAGAAAAATCATGACAACAGCTTTCAAAATAAATATGATCATGTCTTCTTGTTAACCATCTGTTATGTGTTCGCTAATATAAATTTCCCAACCATCACAATAATTGCATATACATTCCCATGTTTGTTATCTCTATAATGCTGAAGATTGAATATTTAGTTCTTTCTATCATATTTTAGTGTTCATTACGTCCTAAACATTTTATGAATTTGATTCTGAGACACACAGTTCACTGGTTTTTGTCTTATCTGCCCGATTTGTCAACATTATTCTGTGAATATTATACAATCGTAGTTGGCTCGTTTTCTATTACTATCTGCCATGGCCATGGTCCTGAAAGATTTTTTTGAGCCACATCCTCTTGTAATTCTATGTACTTTGGATTATCAATAAAAATGGTCTCTTTTTACCTATAGATTCTGTATTGCATTGCTAATTAATTATCTTCTCTGGGGTATACCATAGGAATCTTTAGTTCAACATATTCCAAATATGTTGAGTCCCATGCAAGGGGAACAATAAACAGCCTTGGAACTCAAGGAACATGGCTGGTGGTCAGCAAAATCATGCTCAGTGAGCCTTGGAGAGGTGGAGTCCCAAGGACTCTATGTCCTGAGGACCACATGCTGTTATTGAGCACAGCTCTGCTTACTGCCCTAGTGGTCACCACGTCCCTCATCATGTGTGGGTTGTACAAAAACTCTCAGGGGGTTCTAGCCCCTCACTGGACAGTGTTACTGGTACTTACAATAACAGTGACTGACATTTTCCAAGCATTGCTGCTGGAGCAGATTAATGTTTCAACCACCACCCTTAGAAAGAATTTAGAGACAGGTATTGTTAGTTAAATTAGGTTAAGATGTTTTTGTTATAGCTTTGAGGTAGAAAATCTTGGAAAACAATTTAAAGTTTAGAAAGGCACACTTTTAATTGTTGAGTGAGGGACTTGTTGAGGTCATGGAACAGGACAATAGTACCCTGGCTCTTGCTGGCTAACTTACTTTTCTTGCCAGGACGGGTTGGTGATCAAAGGTAATGATTAATTCCTTGTACCCATTTCTCTTCAGCCTCCTGATACTATTTAATAAAAAACTGTAGGCCGGGCAGTGGTGGCGCATGCCTTTAATCCCAGCACTTGGGAGGCAGAGCCAGGTGGATCTCTGTGAGTTCGAGGCCAGCCTGGGCTACCAAGTGAGT